TTTCTTGTGCAATTTGAAATGAATGGAGATTGAGAATCAATATAACCGTGTGCAGGCCTACATTGACAACCAGAGTGCGTTTCAACGTGAACAGGCAGGAGCGCCGTGGTTATCCACAGACCCCCCAAAACCAGGTAGGAAGAAGAAGGATCTCAACGACCAAATGTACCAACCCAGCCTGACAGCAAACCCTGCACAGCACCACCAGAACCTCCAACACCCTGGGGAAGAAAGTTGGACTTAGGAGAGTACAAGGTAGGCTTTAAATGCTGTGAGTCTCTGGAAGACACAGCCAACTCTGGCAAAGCTAAGGAGAAGTCACCCAAACAAGAGTGACAAGCACCCGGAAGCCCTGCATCCAGACTCTGGACAGCTACAACAAGCAGCTTCTACTCCTCCTTCAACCAAGAAGCATGGCTCCAAAGAGCGCCCTGAAGCACCCACCAAGGTCAACTGCACATTAGTGTGTACTGACCCACCATTCCCCAGTGAACTTCCAAGCAAAGAAATATGCTTTGTACCACAGAGCACAGTAGGGAGGAAAGCCACTGAACGCTGCATCCAGCCGCTGATGGGAGCTCACAGTTCCTAAATCCTGGATTGGTCATCCCAGGAACATTCTGTGTTGACCAGCTTCTCCCAATTGCCTTATGGTTCCTAACTCCTGAAAATAAAAGCTTGGCTTGGTAGAGAGTAAATGCCCCTGACACCTTTGCCTACCACGGAATGGTCAGAGACCCAACAAGCTCCTCAATTGCCTTTAACATGGAACCTGAATGGGCCATCCCAGGAATGGTCTGTGTTGACCAACTTCAAACTTCAACCCAGATGAATATCTCAACAACCTCCATTCTCAGTAATGGAAGAGCACCTCATCTAAAACCACACCAAGAACACTTCACGCTTGTGACAACCAAATCCGTTTTGGAAGCAAAAGTGTTCCAGACCAGTAAAAATTACAACAACTTAGTGTTGTCAATAGAGGACAAACAATTTCTGCAGCTACACGCGTTTTCCCTGAGCACCACACACTGGGACAGGCTGCATCTGCCAGAACAGAAACAAGACTGGGAGTCATGGAGTGCACTCCTAAGATGTCTCCAAAGCATACACATGCAACACATGTATTTCTCCAGTTCACCCACCACTGTACAAAAGAAAGAATTGTATGCTTCCTCAGATGTGTCAACAAAGGTGATTGCAACCATAAGATACATCAGAGTCTACAGCGGGGAGAGCTGCAGTGTCGTCTTTGCCACTGGAAAAGCGAAATTGACCATACAACAAGGCCACACTGTCCCAAGGTTAGAACTCCGTGGTACCATATTGGCCGTAAAACTCACCAACCTGACAACGAAAACGATAAGCCTTGAGCTACAATCTACCACCTTCTACAGAGACAACAAGGTGATGTCAAGATACATCTGCAACCAAAGCAGACACTTCTATGTCTATGTAGGCAACAGAGTAGAAGAGATTGAAACATCTTTAAGCCCTGAGCAATGGCAACATGTGCCAACAGATAAGAATCTTGTGAACCAAACTAAGTGGCCCACCCATGCGACACAGTTGACAGAATTGATCTAGCTAAAAAGTCCTGAGTTCTTGGCTTGTCCAGACAGCTTGATGCCACAGAGACCAAAACGCTATATGCTTCTAGTTCCAGATCAACATGCCAACATTAAACCTCAGGCACCCAGTAAATTCCTCATACAGGATGAGAAAACGACCGTCCAGACCATCTGCTTGTCCTCAATGGGCAAAGAGACAGAGAAACCACTTTCTAGCCAATTCCTAGAACCAGCCTGCTTCGAACGTTCCTTTAAACGAGACACCTGAGATTGGGCATAGTACTGATCGTCCTGATCACTTGTCTTAGCATCCCAAGAACTAGCTTTGTAGGAGCCTGCAAGGACTTACAGACTATCAAAGGTATTTGTCATGACCCAGTGATTGACAAATGTCTGAAAACCAAAAATTACCCTCCCCATGTATCTCAAATGGGCGAAGCGTGGGAGCGCATGATTGGCATACCCTGCAAAACATGGACTCTATGTCGTCAAAGACACCCATGCCCACGCATGAAGTCCTCACTACCCTCATGACAACAGTAGCAGCCATCTTCAATGCTCCATCAGTGGTTCCAGATCCTTCAGTTCCTGAGTATCCTGAGTTTCCTGCACCTGCTGTTCCTGAGCTTCCTATGATTCCAGCTCCTGCTGTTCCTGAGCTTCCTGTGGTTCCAGCTCCTGCTGTTCCTGAGTTTTCTGCATTTCCAGCTTCTTCTGTTCCTGAGTTTCTGTGGATTCAGGTTCCTTTGTTCTTGAAAAATTTTGGGCTCCAGCTTTTCTGATCCAGAAATTCCTTTGGTTCCAGTTTCTCCTACAGGAAGAAGACCTTGTCTTGCTGAGAGACAAGGACATATACTAGAACTCTTGGCCCATGGGACTCATGTACCAGGCCCCACCCAGTTCTGATGGATTGGTTCACCAAGTTGAGGTCCAGATTGTGAAGCCATGTGATTCAGATCGTGACTCAAAGACTCTTGCACCAGACTGATCACTGACCTGGTCCCGTTGCTGAAGAAGACTGAACTGGAAGATTGAACCTCAAACTATGTATTTGTGTTTATTCATTGTTTGATGTAAAATCTTGTTTATCCCTGATATAGTTGTGCATGTTTTGTATTTACCTTATAGTTATGCATGCTTGATACCATGTTTTGCCTATTTTAGTCACTAGTTAGTTAGCAATAAGAATTGCATGCTTCAATGCTACATTTTTTGCCTATTTCAGTTAGTTAGTAGTGGAAATTATATTTCCAAGCGGAGAGTGTTCTGGATCAGCCAGTTAGATGAGAACTATATGTTAGAATGTTTGGCATTTATAGGGTTAAACGCTGTCTCAAGAGATGGCTTATGGGTAATATAGTTTAGCTATTCAGTGAATCCCATGTTAACGTCAGTAGGAGGGGCTACTAAGTTCATTACTGGATATCCTGGCTACATGCCAGCAGTTTGGAATGTCTTTGTCTGAGATAAGCATGGGATCACCGGAGGACAGACACGGTCTTAATTCACGCTAGAAGTTGATGTGAAGGAATTAATGATTTTACCTACGAAAATGGACAATTATGCAACATCCAGATAAAACTATGGAAATCGTGAGTTCTGACCAAGTATTCCTGGATTAAATATTTGTTTAAAAACCATCTTCATTGAGTTGTCTGTCTAGTTTTGAATTGCAAATCATCTTAGTTCAGGATACAGAACAATACTTGCCAGAGATAATAAGTGCAAGAAGGAGGACTAAATTGTTATATATTCACAGATCCTGGTGCTCTCTGAACTTGATTATTTGCTTGTAGATATTTCATTATTCAGCAGATAACATCTAAAGATATGAATCTAACATTTTGCCTGTAACTGACCATGTAAGAACTGTTGCACATTTCTTGTTGTTCTAAAGAGAAAAGGATTGTCTCTTTTCAAAAGCTAGTTCTTTTTTATTAAGCCACTGACAATAGGTTAAATATTTCATTAATCATTGATGATGCTATCTAGTTGGATAATAAAATGTTTACAAACAAACAACCAAGCTCAGAGAGCAGCAAGGGATTCACAGCTTAGCCATTTTTTATAAGCTTGCTAATAATACTCAATTGTTTCATTACAATTTTCCAAGAAATTGTTATGAATTATTATTTAAGTCAAAGATGGCCAGCATAAGTATATGTGGATTGATATTAATTGTTTTACTCTATTAGAATCTCTGTCTTTAATAGCATTCATAAACTATATGGAAAATGGTGAAAGATGCTGGAAGAAGGAATTCTTCCTCAGTTGAAAAGTAAATGGGGATCTTCCACATGTAGAAGAATCCTATTTTGTGCCACATGAACTCACACCCTTCACTAAAACAAGCAAAAATAAATATATATTTTATTCGACATCCAAGGAATTAAACTGAACAGGAGTGCATTTTTATGACAACGCTTTGCATTTCTGAAACACACACACACAAAATCTTGGTAGATACTGCTATTGCACAACAAAGTGAGAAATCATAACACTGTTATTACAGAGAAGTTTTTTGTTTGGTCATATATTCCCATTTTGTCTCAGTGCACTCTGAACAACCCAAGTCCAAGAAATATTATGCAATCAGAAGTGCTTGTATGGAACATCATAAAATATTGCCATAACCTATCAATAAAATCCACTATATGATTTCAGGGAGAGATTATTTTGCTTAACTGCAAAAATGGGTAATAATACTTTAAAAGTGAAGTGGTAAAATACAACATTAAGCCTCAGTTGTAGGCTGAAGAGGCATAACATAAAATAATTATTGCTAACTGCAGCATGTTTATGCTACAGTAAGGAGGAATTAGAGAAGAAGCCCTTAGATATACAACTGACACGTGAGTCACAGGGCATTCCAAACTCCTGTGTACATTTGTTCAGCCTTGCCCCATCTCACATTAGAGGAAATCATTGCTGGTCATGTTCAAAAGAAGGGAGATGTTGGTAGGAGAGGAAGTGAAACTGGGAGAACTCACCAGTTAAGATTCTGTCCCATCACAGAACAGAAAAGCTTGGCCACAAAGACAGCCAATTTTATGTTGGCTTACTAAAGGACTGGTGAATAACACTTGAAACCAGTTGCTGGTTTTGTTCAAACAGAAAAGGAAGAGAAATCATTGCTTACCCTCAGGTATCAAGCATTTTAAATAAGCAGCATTTTCACCCTTTATCTCTTGAGTCCTTCAAACAACATTTTTGCATAACTGGGAGCCATTAAAGTGGCAAAACTGTGTTTGAGAACTGGATATAAAATATTTATCCCAATCCATCCTTCTCACCCCACTTCTCTTTCCCTCCCTCCCTCTCTCTCTCTCCCTCCCTCCCTCCCTCCTTCCCTCCCCCCTCTCTCATCACTGCAGTTTCTGGTGTTTACACACACAAAGGGAGGTAAGTTCAAAGTATTATTTGACTCACCTGAAATGAATGGAAAAGATACCAGAATGCCCAGCCATTTATAACATTGTAGTACATGGAGAGGAAAAATGACACAACAACACTGGCAATTCCTGAAAACAAGAAAATTATATGTCAGGCAAATGGGAATAAACTGATCATTGCTATCACCCCCTCAGAAGTGTTAATGCTTTGAAAACAATCCCAAGGTTTTTTTAATGTCTCCATACAAGTCAGAAAAAAAGATGCTACTGATTTAAGAATTGTTTTAATAAATGAACTGCTTAAAGCAGCTTATCTTTGTACAGTTCATGCAGAAGCCTTAAAAAAATAATCGCTGCTTTAATCAGTAGCCCAGATGCAATGCTTACACTCCTGTGAAGGTCTGATATGGTGCTGGCACTGTTATGAAGCTTGCAGCACTTCTAATGAATCATTTTTTGAAGATGCACAGTCTTACTCATAAATAATCCCCTCCTCTACATATTTTCCTGTAATTATTTCCATGAAACTCTTCACATAAACAGAACGCTCAAGGTGAATTGGGCTATTAAAACAGTAAATTCTTCTCTATCTATTTTCTGGGTTTTATTGCAAATTTTGGTAGCCATGAACTATTGACAAACAAGCGGAGATTTAGCAAAAATTTGAAATAGTGAGACAATGGAAGAGGGAAGCACTTTCAGTAGAGAAAAGGTGCATTATCCGTCCTGCAGGAAATGGCAAAAAAAAAAACAAAAAACAAAAAACCAACCTCAATATTTTTCAAGGGAATTGAATGGAATAGATGGAATTTTGAACAAAGAGCTTTCCACATTGCAACAATTAGTTGATCAAACTGCATGGAACTAAATGAATCCTCTTCACTTTTTTTCCAGTAAATCAATAATTTCTATAAAATAGTAACCTTGCTTCATGGATGAGTTGACCTGACCATAAGTATCTCATTCAACACCTTGTGGGTTGTGTTACATAATGTTAGAAGACTGCTAGCTTAGGGTAGGAAACAACAGTTTAGAGATAAGAAAGTTGTACCTAAACTTAATCTCTCCTCTTCATAATTTATACTATAGTTATAGTCAGGCAGTTCAATTGCTTCCCTTAGCCAGTTTTTCCTGTATCTTTTAATAACATCTCAGTTTGAAAGGGTCAACTGCTCTTATCCATATCTTAATTACTGTGTGCCTGTATTGGGTTAGAGTTAATTTTCCCATTCATTAGGTCCAGATGTTATAATAGTTCACCAGGCAGGATTTGTTATTTCAAACAACATTTCCTTCTGAATATACATTTACATTCTTTGATATATCATTTCCCCAGATATAGCAACTATTTTTGTTAGATGGCTTTGTTACTCTTCCAAATGATAAAATTCCCTCAGTGTGTGAGGAAATAAAAGTAGGCAGGCTGCTTCATGTTTTTATAGACAACTGGATTCTATATTGCTATGTTTCTATCTTTGGGTATGTATCAGTTGGGAAATACTTCACTTCCCAGCCTTTTCTGGCTTTTTAAACAAGCAATAAGTATATTTGATGCTGATGTCATGTACTGGAGATGACAAAAATTGCTTATTTGAAGACATTTCAAGTTTTTCCTGAATTAAAAATTGGCTTGTATTTGCAATTTAAAATTTAAAAAAGGATTGATTTTGTATTTGTAACTTTACAGGATTGAAATTGTGCATGTAGATTTTTTTTTTAAGAAAAAAGCATTGTTTGTCCTTCCTTTCATCAAAGCTCGTGATAGAAAAGCAAGAGCAAGATGTCTACAAACGTATTACAAACTTGTCTTACAATCACAATAGAGCGCAAACTTTCTGTTGGTGAGACATTTGTTAAGTGAATGTTGCCCCATTTTACAACCTTTCTTGCCACAGTTGTTAAGTGAATCATTGCAGTTGTTAATTTAGTAACAAGTTTGTTAAGTGAATCTGGCTTTCTCATTGACTTTGCTTATCAGAAAGTCACAAAAGGTGATTATATGACCCCAGGACACTGCAACTGTCATAAATATGAGTCAGTTGCCAAGCATCCAAATTTTGATCACCTGACCATGGGGATGCTGCAACAATTTTCACAATGGTTGTGAAAAACAGTCATAATAGATTTTTTCAATGCAGTTGTAACTAAACAACTTGTTTAGTTGTCACTAAACAAAAGGTTATAAGTCAAGGACTATTTGTAAAATCCACAAGCAAAACAATAGATCTCTAGCAGGTATATTAAAAACCAATTGTCATTTTATATGTAAACAAGAAAAGCAAGCAATAGATAGACAAAAACCCACCAACTCCACAGAGGTAAGGACTTATAGCATTCCATGTGCCAATGCTCCCTTGGCGCATATGTTGTCCTATTGCCAACTCTAAGAATAACAATGGCATTCCTTCCACAACTAACATAATCAAGTATGGGATTAAAAATCCACCTGCAAGAGAAACAAAAGCATATATGTATTACAGTCAACTATCTAGTACTTAGGTAAAAGCTTTAAATAAGTGCTTAATATAGTGGGGTTTTTTCCCAGCTTGACAACTTTAATATACATGGGCTTCAACTCCCTGTGTTCCCCAGCCAGTAGGCTTGCCAACATATCTTTCATTACTTGTTTCAACAAATTTCTGCAGAAAATATAGGGATAAACAATAAAAAACACCAGAATACAGTTCCTAACTTTGATAGCAACAACTTTTGCTTTCTCCATAATGAATGAATGGAATGAGAATTATATGTTTCAGAAAAAGTACATACCCAATCCCAAGTACAAAATGCAAGAATTGGTCTATACTGTATTCTCAATATCAATTTTTTTAAAAAATCTGTATGCTAAATCAAAATTTTCTTAGCCGTGTTTGAAAAAATAAAGTACTCTTTATTCATGTAATATACTAAGCCAAAACGAAGCAGCCACATTACAGCTGAGCATCATGTGTGAATCTATCCACAGAAATGGAGTCACATATCTTCATGGGCACTTTTTTTCATAGGTATCCGTTCCAAACTACACTGATTCCAAAATGCATGTCATGATGTTATAGCACAGGTGCTGCTCTTTCACACTTGCAATGCAACATCAGATCTATGAATATTAAAAAAAAATCTGGATTATAAGGCACATTGTGCTCCTTACCTCCTTCACTTGATTGTGCTTCAACTTTGTGTTATAATATCTAATTGCTCAGGTACACTCCACAAGCATTAGGATGTACGTCCATCCAGAAAGAAAATCTAACAACTTCAGTGTGATTTATCTTCCGGGAAATGGATTTAGTCATGCAGATTATAGCATACAATATAATAGTATATGAAATTGCTTAAAATAAGTCTCTGTGGGGCTTTTTCTCAGGAAACAATTGTTTCTAAATGAAAAGCATTCATATCTGGTTTTGTCTGATTATTTATTTCTTGCTATATCTTCCTTTTCCTAGAATTGGAGCTTGATAATTAGCCTATACACTGGAAGGGTTTGCCAGAATAATTTTCTGTAAATCACATAGTCTAGATGTGATTTAGTAGAATGGTTTAAACAGTTCAGATAGAGTAACTGTTAAAGTATAACTAATTGCTATAAAGAGCATTAAATTATAACCAAAGAAAGTGAGAAAAGATCAAAAGTACATAAAGATCCAGGTTTTGGTCTAATGGGTAGGGTGCTGGCCAAGAAACCAAAAGATGTGAGTGCTGGTCTTGCCTTAGGCATGTAAGCTGGATGGGTAACTTTGGATCTGTCACTCTCTCTCAGTCCAACCCACTCCTCAGGGTTGTTGTTGAAGAAAATAGGAAGAGGGAAGAGTACTGTGTATGTTATACATCTTGAGTTACAGAGTAAGCTAAAAAAATAAAATAGAGTCAAAACTAACACAGAGAAATAAATATTTCCTAGCTGAAATCAGTAGAACCGTAAGCATATATAATTAGGATTGAGCTGTGACTGCAATTGACAAAAGCTAGCTTAAAGCTATATTTTTTTTCAATTTTCTCCACCCACCTCACCCCATAAAGAGGATTAGTGAAGCCTTCTCTTGAACAGAACCCAGACTGAATCCAGCTTGGCCTAGCCTTACTGGTGAAATGAGGTTGTCCATCCATCATCCATCCATCTGTCCATCCTGCCTGCCTGCCTGTCTGCCTCTCCCTCCCTCGTCACTTTGGAGTCCTTAACAAGTACTAGTCTACGGATTTTTTCCTAATAACTCCAAGTTTTAATTTGGAGAAAGACTGCTCAAAATAGTACTAATCATAAGGTATCATTTAATCAAAAACATCTCAAATAAGTTATATTTTGACTTTGAAATGCCAGACTTCTACTATTGAAGAAAGGCTAATGATGAAAACATGTAATGTTTATGGCTAATTCATTGGATAAAGTGAGGTGGTTGCCTCTAGTAGATGATTATTGGCATTATGAAGAGGCTGCAATTAATTATCATTGGATATTTATTGTAAGAGAGAATATTGCTGAATATTCTGCCTCAGAGCCGAAACAATTTACGTGGCCTTGGGTATGATGAACTATAACCAAGACTGGGATGAAGAAGTGCTGCTAATACCCAGACTTTGGGGAAAGAAATAGCAAACTGAAGATGGCTCTGCTAAGAATCGATCCAATGATCGCAGCTGAATAAAGAGCTAATAAAACCTGTTCTTTATCATCTCTCTCCAGACAAGGAGAGGAATTAAGAATGCTCACAAGTGCTCTAACACCACCACCAATTGTTCCTCGTGAAGAGACTGCAAGATAGCAATCTCAGGATGGTAGTGGTGGTGTTAGAATTCTGGGAGATGAGGAAAAGCCATGTTAACTAAAAACATGTTTGGCACCTTACCAATGGACACTAGGTTTGTAAATTCTATTTTTAATCACTTTTGTAAATTATTTGTTAACTACTTTTTAACTATGAGGAATAGAGTAGAGTAGAGTAGAGTAGAGTAGAGTAGAATAGAATAGAATAGAATAGAAATTTGGAGGTCCTCTAATCTAGCCCTCTACTCAAGAGGAGACGCTATACCAGTGATGGCGAACCTTTTAGAGACCCAGTGCCCAAACTGCAACCCAAAACCCACTTATTTATCACTGGGTGCTGGGTGGGCGGGGCCAGGGTGGTGGTGGCAGACTGGGTGGGCGGGTCCAGGGCGATAGGGGCCAGTCCCTCGCCATCTCCAGGGCACAACATGCATGCCCACAGAAAGGGCTCTGAGTGCTGCCTCTGGCACGCGTGCCATAGGTTCGCCACCACTGCCCTATACCATTACTAAGGAACCCTAAGACTCAGTTTTACAGCATTAGGTGATATTCCTTCAACCCTTAGCAAAATTTTAAATACAAGTTGAAATGTTTTTTTTCTTTCATAATAAATAGCAAAATGGTGATTAGAACTTTGATTTTGAAAGGTTACAAATGTAATAAGGTTGCAGAAAACGCATTTCTTAGTATTCTTTTAAAAATGAAAACATGATGGGATGGGACTTTGAAGATTGGACACTAGAGAGAATCAGAAGGTATTGATGGGAAGAACAATTAAATTTGACCCAGAATGGATTAAAATGGATATATTGTATATTTTTGAACAAGGACCCAGAAGTCAATTTTGATAGTTCGACTTTATAGATTGTTGAAACATATTATGGAAGAGGAACATTTTTACCAGACAAGACTGAGACTGATCTGAAAATAGATTTAAAAATGATAGGCTACAAAAATGAAATGGAAAAAGATGCTGTACTGAAAATACAAATAAAATATCAATATTATTAAAAGTAAAAGAAAGGAACATAAGTTTGGTTTATTTAATCATGGTTAAAATAGATATGTTATTATGTCTGGTAACCTTTAATGAACTTTTGCTGATCAAGACTGAACAATGAGGCTCTAGGATTTATTTATATACAAGAGATGTGATATGGAAGAAGAGATCACTTCTTGAATTTTAAGAGAATTTTAAAATTGTACTTGTGATTGAAAGGGGAAGTCATTTTTATATATTTCTTTTCAATCTATTTTTCACATTTTCTATTTTTTCTATTTATTTTTTAAATTTTTACTAGTTTTTATCTCTTTAATTGTATTTTCTAATAAAATTACTATATAAAAAAGAAATGCTGCTAGCTGCTCACTTCAGACTGCAAACTATTTTGAGGTAGTCTTATGCACTGAACAGATTGGTGGTTTTAGATTCTAATTCTTTTTCAACTTAGAAGCACATTGTTAGTTTTTAATCCCCAAATCCAAAGAATTGGAATCAGAAAACTTGTCTGTCACTGGTTTATGTATTTGCAAATGAAAGGAAGATTTAAATTAGATTTTTAAAACTTATGGAATTGACCTTGCAAAAAATGAATCTAAAATTGTACTGTGTAATTAATGATGAACATGTTATTGCCAAGTTTATAAATTGTTGTTGAAACTGAACTTGAAGAATGAGTATGTGAAATATCATATGTCCCAAATGAGCAATGTATTTTGGGTATAATGCAATGCTTGGAAAATGGAAAACATGTGCATGAACGGTTTAGGAATTTACATTAAATTATAACTTAAAAGAAAATGTTTATAAAATGATATACCATTAGTATTTAACACCTTTAGTAATCATAATTAATAAAGATATTTCAAATGTATGTTGGAAATATAAAGAAGGAATTTTTAATCATCTTTGGTGGACCTGCAATAAATCAAAGAAATATTGGAGTAGGACTCATATCTTAATACAGAAGAGTTTTAATGTAAATATAAAGATAAAACCAAATACTTTTTTTTTTGCTTAATAGAGAAAGAACTTGAAAACAAATGGAACTTTCAGACTTCCGGTTTTGTGTGGTAGCACACGGTTGCGGGATTGCGAAGCTCTGCTTCCCCTAGCACTTTTCATCCTGCCAGGGGAATCTAAACGGGTCTAAAGCCACCCCGAAGAAGCGGCGAAGAAAGAGGGGCACCCCAGCAATCCGGGAATGACGCTGGTTGTCCCATTTGAACTGGAAATTCTCTCTAACCTGACAGGAGAAATTCTGGCCCCACCTCAGTAACCAGCCCAAGCTACTTGCAGCCGAAGTCCACCAATACTCACCACAACATTGGTGAACAGTGTGCTGAAACTGGGTGAGAAATTTGATCTTCTCTCTCCTACTTTATATTCTGAACTTTTGGAAAAAATACTCCAGGAAGCAAAAAAAGCCTCCAAAAGTGAAAAGGAGAGCTTAGCTCCACTCTCCCATGGAAGGATGTGGCAAATTAAACTGTTAAGGGGGCAAGAAACATACTGTTACTGACATCTAGTGGTGGAAGAGAATATATAACTTTAGCTGCTTTGTTATAAGTATTGGCAGGACACCCAAAATGAGATAATCTACTTCTCTGATTCTTAAAAACTGCTAAACAAAACATCCTGGGCCAGCCACAATAAGCAAAGACTATAATTGAAAAAAAAAACA